GCAAACCTGGTGGCCAACTACTAGAAATGTCTGTAATTGCCAACAAGGGTTTTTCCACCAATACTAAGTCGAAGTGGTCAGATACTTATTTCACTTATTGACATGCAAATCAATTTGTAACTTTTTTGACATGCCTTTTTTCTGGATTTTCTTTTTTCTGTCTGTCACTTAAAATACACCTAGCATTAAAATTATAGACTGATCATTTCTTTGTCAGTGGAAAAACATTCAAAATCAGCAGAGGATCAAATGCTTTTTCCCTCACTGTATGAGTGACTTATCAAGGACCAAATAGTGAAGGCTAGATGACTGGGGTAAAGCATCTCTAAAACGGCAAGTATTATAGGGTGTTCCCGGTATGTAGTGATTAGTACTTACCAAAAGTGGTGCAAGGAAGGACAACCAGTGAACCATCATCGGGTTTATATGAGCCCAAGGTTCATTGAGGCATCTGAGAAGCGAAGGCTAGCCTATGCAGAAGAGTTACTTTAGCTCAAATAGAAAGGTATCAAAAAACACAGTGCATCGCAGTTTGTTGCGTAGTTGCAGACCAGCCAGAGTGCCTATGATGTTCCCTGTAAACTCAGAATGCGTCAGAGCTGTTTTGGCAGTGCGAGAGAGACCTACACGATATTAGGCAGATGGTTTTAATAATTTGTATGAAGGCATTATAGTTCACCAAGTGGTGAAGTCCCTCCTTGGCCTTCTAATTTCACATTTATATTTGCAATTAAAATAACTCTGTCATGACAGATTACAGTTAACAGAGTTTTCAAATTTTGTTAAACAAAATTAAATGGCACATGCTATCTTTAGAAAAACAGTCTAGAGTAGACAACTCAGAATGACAGTGTGGAAATTGACTACATATCTAACTTTGTAAGGTGGCACAGATGTCATTTATGATCATTCACAGTAAAGGAGTTTAAGCATGCGTGGGATAGGCATAAGGCTATCCTAACTATAAGATCAGGCTAGGGACTAATGTAAAGTATTTAGAAAATTGGGCAGACAAGATAGGCCGAATGGTTCTTATCTGCCGTCACATTCTATGTTTCTATATGTTTCTATAAAAAAATTTCATGGTTAATTGCCCCATTGTTTTTAATTCTTCTACGTTATACTGACTCAAGCTGCAGACTTGAAAGCATTCTAAGAAATAACCCTCAATATTTAGCATCCTTTTATAATAGTTTCAGGGCATGCCTCTAAAGATTCTCTTTTCACTGTGTTTTTTTTTTGGTGTATTTGTATTTTCAGCTTTTCAATAAATAGCACATTTTGAGATTTGAGATGCATTTGATTTTGTTTCTTTCTCACATGTAGGAACATGGCGAGGGCAGCGGCAGTAGCAGTGCTTCAGGGGTTGATGATGATTGGACCCATGTTTCTCCCAAAGAAGTAGACCCATCTACTGGCGAACCTCAATCTCTTCTTGATGCAGATATACCTTCCTCCCTAGATCCATTTCAGCCCACATCCCAATCCATAAATGTACCTACAGGGCTGAGAGAAGCTGCTATCTATCCACATTTACCAGCAGGTAAAAAATACTCTACAATGAACAGACATGCTTTATCCTCAAATGATCACACTATATTTATCAGCCTTTTTATCAGCCTTTTTATTAATTATTAAATATATGCAAAATATTTCATATTGTATGTGTGTATACACACACATATTTTCACTTGATTTTTTTTTTAATTAAGTAAATGATGACAGTGTAATATGTAATGTGTTGTTGTTCATTTGAGCTTGTATTTACCTAATTTTAAGACCTACTAAGGAACAGATGATTGTTATGTCCTGATATGTAAAACCACAGAATTCAAAATACAGGGCTGTGGTTTACTTTACTTCACTTGCCTTGTGCCCTTCCTTTTAGGTATAGTAGGATAGATAGGTAGGATTCGCCATTGCTCCTAAGAATTTAAGAGTTTGTATGATTAGTTATTTTGCCTGGCTTTGAAAGTTTGTCTAATACTTAGGATCTGTTAAGGTAGGTGGCAGAAAGTTTGAGGGCTACAGCTCAAAAGTAAATTTTATGGCCACTTTCATGTTTATTTACATACATCCACACCCTATGTGACAAGCTAAACACTAACAGGTTCTATAAATCATGTTCTGACACCAAATATTTGAATGGGTTCAGAACATTAAGTAAACCTATATTCATATACTCCACACCTGCTGTATTAATCTGCACCAACTAAATTTAAACCCTACACCCACAGCAATACCCACACATTCTGCTCTTTAATTTAAAAGACACCCCACTGCCCAAATGGAAAAAAATACAAATTTTACAAGCTGTGTAGTAGATAAACCCCAAATGAATACATACATTATTCATTGGGGGTATATCTTAAGAGTTCGTATGGACTGCAGCTTTTGCAAGCCATCCCCTTTTTCCCTGGAAGAGACTAAAAGTCTCTTTAGATGGCTATCAGAAACAACTCAATAAAGGACCACTATAGGCACCCAGACCACTTTAGCTCAATGAAGTGGTCTGGGTGTCAGGTGCCTCTAGTTTTAACCAAGCAGCTGAAAACATAGCAGTTAATCCAGCCTCTAGTGGCTGTCTCACTGACAACCGCTAGAGGCACTTCCGCAATTCTCACTGTGAAAATCACAGTGAGAACACGCTGGACGTCCATAGGAAAGCATTGAGTAATGCTTTCCTATGGTGGTTTGAATGCACGTGCGGCTCTTGCCGCGCATTCGGATCTGACGTTGGCAGGGGGTGGAGAGATCCCCAGCACAGAGGGAGCCCAGCGCTGGTGAAAGTTTAAGTGGCTGAAGGGGTTTTAACCCCTTCAGCCCAGCGGGAGGGGGCCCCTGAGGGTGGGGGGACCTAATGACCCTATAGTGCCAGGAAAACAAGTTTGTTTTCCTGGCACTATAGTGCTCTTTTAAGTAGCCTCTGAATATTCCTTCTGTTTGCACACACACCCTCACATGTGTGCAACACTAGTCTGATCTGGAGGTATGAGAAGGAGCCAAGGAGGTCTGGCAGGGGGAGGTAGGCCAGAATGTGTTTTATTAATTAATTATGAAATTAATATTGAGAAATATATTATTTCACATAGGATATATTATTTCTCAAATAATTGTGCACTTTTATAAAGTGCCTTTGTAATGGGGTACTTCAGCAAGTGCTGGGTGTTCAATTTGTCATATTTTTTTTCTCTTTTACATGGAGCTTGTGGCAAAATTAGACATTTTAAGCCCCTCAAACTGAGCTCTAGCCTGGACCTCCAGCAATATTTGCTATTCATCTATTGGACTGGGGGAAACTCAATAAATTCATTGTACATTTGGATTTTCAGATTGACTGTAGCTGGGCTAAATATGTTTTGTGGAGGAAAGGTTTATATTATAGACTTTGGAAACAAAATTGGGTTAAAACTAGCTCATCATTTTCTATCAAGTTTTGCCCCTAAAAATATGACTTCATAGGATTTACCTGGAGTGCTAAATGATAAAACCATATCTACATTTAGCATAACTGATGGCCAGATATCTGACTTTTTTAATATAAATTTATACAGCTTGAATCAGTTCTCTTTAGACAATGAATAAATTAAGAAATTTTGAACTGATAGTATTAAACCTGTCTCATTGTCTGTTTTATTTTCAGAGGCAGATCCTCGTCTTATAGAAACACTGTCACAGATGCTGTCAATGGGCTTCACAGACGAGGGTGGATGGCTTACAAGACTCCTGGAGGCAAAGCAGTATGACATAGACGCTGCCCTAGAGACCATGCAGTCTGTGCGAAATATCGCTCGTCCCTAACATCAGCATGAAATACAGTCTAAACTTGCACTCTTAAGATTTATCTTACCACAAAACTTATACCCTGCTTATTATAGAAACAATAAAGTGTCATCATATTCACTGTTTTTAATTACTCTTTTTCATAATTCTCTTTTTAAAAGCTTGAGTTCTACTTGGAAGTTGGGCAAGGGCAATTTCCTTTTATATTTTTTCAGACGATTCCCAGTATAGGTGAAACTCTCAAAAACAAATTATTCTTTTGCTTAGACCAAACATGGCTTTCATTCCCTGGAGAAAGAATATAATGCGGTAAACTTAAATTTAACTGTTGGGGGTATTCATTAAAGTGAGATTTGTTGGGAATTTAAAGTGAATTTAAAATTTTAGACCAAAATCGTCAAGCTGGAAGCATAGGTAACTTGAATAATTTTTCCAATTCAGCTATTTGGTATTAATTGTGGATTTCTATCAATTCTCACTTTAGTGAACATCTAAGAAAACAAATTGGTGAAAACAAAGGTGTCTGCTAATTTGGTTTATATGTAAGATTACTTAACATACAATGAATTTTTCCCTGCATAGGCAAAATCATACCATTAAACTTCCTTTATTATCAATAAACTAAGAGATATAAAAACAAAAGTACATAGTTTGTCAGTCATGCCTATCATTCTGATCATCAGTGAATCAATTGGCATTGTTTTGTAATCACCCCTTATCAAGTAAGCTATTCAGTAATCAAAAGGATAATTGCATCTGACATAAATGTTAGCACCTAATAAGCAGTTAGTGCCTTCTGGAATCACTGGTCTACATGTGAGTAATATTAGACAAGTAAAAATAATATTTTTCATAATTATAAGTGGTGGTGGCAGCCTTCTATTTCACTGTATGACCTGGTAAATCTGTAGTATTTGTCCAGTTAGTGCATTTTTTAGACCCATACAGATAGATACTGTATAATGATTAAGACACGGAACCTATATGGATCAGATGTATTATCCCAGACCCTTGCCATATTCCAGGTATAGACCGAGCTTGTATGTTAAATTTCTTAACTGCTGACTATATGAGGAATTGAGTTCCTTACTATGTAATAACTGATACTTTTTAAAACGTATGCAATTAAAACCTGCTTGTGAAGTATCCTAAAAGTATCCTGTTTTTGATTTTTATTTAAACAGCAATGATTTACTATTGAGAGATTAGTTAAATTGTAGATCACAATATTGTAGCAGTTGTACTTGAATATTTCCAATGGGGCTGTTACAGTGCCAGAAATGTATTGTTCAAATCAGCAGATTATTGCTTAGGGGGCTATGGAACACATGGGAATAATTAAGAGAGGCTAAAAAGGAATTAAATGTGTTTTAAAAATATGGGAATGTATTTTCTTTAAAATGGAATACACATTCTTCCAAGGGTAATAGATCAAACTCTTTGGAGATCTGTTTAAGAGACTTCATTGGTAAAATAAAGTATACACTTTTAATTGAAGGAGCAGTAACATTTCTAAAGTTAATAATTCACTGCTGACTTAATGCTCGCAAATTTGATCAGTAACTTCAAGAATGGGATAGATTTACAAGGCTAGATGTCAGTTAAATTAACAACTTTAAGGATAAGTATTTTCTGATCCACCAGTGAGCTAAGGGTGTAATATATAATATATAATTTTCTTACAGATAATACATTTAAATAAGTGAACAAAATGGCTGTGTTTGATGAAATTTGATTAGAGAAATCTATGCATCAGTGGTTCATGCAGATTATAAAGCCATAAGTGATTAAATTATTCTGTACTCAAAATTAACATTTGACAAGTGGACTTATTTTGGAATTTTCAATACCCCAGAGGGATGCTTGGTCCATAACAAAAGAAGAAAATAACTAAGACTCAAGAATGCTCAGGTTCTATTATAAAAGTAGCCTGGTGCAGTGATTACATTTATATGTCTGATATATACATACATGAACTTTATACATATGAAAACTTAGATAAATCAAACTATAAGTAAATCAGATAAAATATGGTTCCAACTGTAACCGCTAGTACTCCTATTTACAGCTATAACGTCTTATAACTTAGAATTTAGCAGGGCTAACCATACAGATATCTTAGCTAAAATATTGTATAGTCGGTATAGAGTTTCTCTATTTAAAATAAATACAATAAAAATAGGAGTTGGAAGCAATAACTTTTGTCTTATTAATATAGTTTATTGAATATAAATGAATACAGATATATAAACTTAATAATCCATTAATATATCATAAAGCAGAGTATATAAAATTAAATGAATAAATGCTTGCAATATAAAGTGTTAGTATAACATACCATCCTGATTATACAGGTAATCTCTCAGTATCTCACCTCCAGAGTCGGTCAGTAAGTCTCTACCTAGCATTGATCATGCATGTATATATAGCATTTCTAATTTCTACTGGTAATGTGTGGGTTAATTCATCTTAGGGTTAAAAGCAGTTCATATATAAAAATAAAAGAAAAACACCCTTATCAGTCTGTCATAACCCAGACATCTTTAATCTGTATTTAGACTAGAAGTTAGGTTGACATACACCTTAGGGTTAAAAGAAGTTCATATATAAAAATAAAAGAAAGACATACTTATCAGTCTAATGTCATAACCTAGACATCTTTAATCTTTATTTGGACTAGACGTTCGGATGACATAGGCAAAGCCCTGAATTGTTATTGCATTAATCTAAGACAAGATGGAGTAAACATGTTGTGTACTGTAAATAGGTAAAACGTTATTAGTTAAAGAAACAGTTGCAGTTTAAAGAAATACAATTTAGCAATGTGTATAGTACCTACAATTGCCCATCACACAACGAATACATATGAATGAATCTCTAAAAAGCTTTTATTACATACATTTATAGAGCATAAAGCAATGACAATATTTTAGAGACCTAAAAATCTTGGAAAAAATTAAGAAGAATGTAAATATATTTGAAATGATAAAAGATTTGAAAAAAAAACACATTAAACTGACAAAGAGCATTCATTTCAAAGTCCATATTTAACCCATTATGGGACAGAGTTAGTGATGTTGCGAACTTTTCGCGAACGGTTCGCCACGGACTCCAGTCAGCAGACACATCCCGGCCAATCTGCAGCAGACCCTCCCTCCCACCTCCTGGAAAGCATCCATTATGAAGCCTTCAAAATGGATGCTGTCCAGGAGGTGGAAGGGTCTGGGAGGGAGGGTCTGCTGCAGATTGGCAGGGATGTGTCTGCTGACTGGAGTCCATGGCGAACCGTTCGCGAAAAGTTCGCAACATCACTAGACAGAGTGTATAGATTTTACATTTACTAAGAGTGTAATCAATATTACCTCCCCTCCAATGTTTAGCAATCATTTGGATCCCATAAAATGTTATTCCTGTAGGATTTTATTATGATGTTCCAAAAAGTGCAGAGAAAAGTTATGTTTTTTAAAACCCCTTTTAATGTTGTATATGTACTTGTGTATCCTAGTTGACAGACATCTAGATGTCTTCCCCACATATTGAAGGCCACATAGACACAAGCACCTACACAACACTTTCAGATTAACATGTAATAAAATATTTAATTGTAACTTCTTTTAAATTAACATTCGAGCAAAAGGACTGGATTTTCTTTCCTCTGCATCCCATACAGTTCCCACAACAATAAAAATCCTTATTGGAATTTTTATATGTACTAATTAAATCTTTATTTGTCTGTTCTATAAAACTTATTTTTTTCCTTCTCTTTTTATTATTGAGGCAATAATTTATAACAGTACAAGCATAAGGAGTGATAACAGTTTGTCACATGAGAGGCTGAGCATGGCATATAGAAGCATTCAATTACTGTGATAAACTCAATAAGTGTTTCTCCTAGCTAAAACAGCCTAATTTTTTAAGTAAAATATAACAGACGACAGTACAACACCTAGATTAGGCTTAAGCTTAGATAAGTGTGATAAGGTGAACTGAAACATGCTTACACACGGTAAATACCACTGGATGCTTAGAAAAATAAAAAACTATAGATGACAACAATAAAACTATTGATTAAAAGAAACAAAAGTATGGATGCTCAGCTTTGCAAGATGTATACAGAACATGTTAGAAGTGGGATATGCTGTTGCCCATCTAGATCATCCCACTCCGCACGCTGGCCATGTCCGTGTGGGAACGGCCTTTCTGCAATTTTTCCAACGCATTTGCCTTGTTAGCCTTGGGACAGGGGGCCGGTTAAACTTCAAGAGGGCGGCGAGGGAGCGCTGATTTGGTGCCGCAGAGTGATACCAGGAGAGCTCACAAATTAGTGCTCCATCGCTGCCTGCAACTCAGATGACCGCCCGCCTGCCTTCCTGCCCGCCTTTCTGCCCAAACAGCTCGGTAAAAAATCCACCCAGCTCTCCCAAAGGTAGGTGTTACGAACGCTGGTATTGTAGATACCGTTCGCCTATTTCCTCCTGAACTGCTGAAGCCAGAGTAATTATATGTAGATTTGAACGGTTCCTAGACAAATGCAGCATCCAAGGAGTTTCTCCCCAGCAAGTAGACAGCTACCTAAACATCAGCCATGGACTAGATGAAGGGTACAACAGGAATTAAATATTAATGGTGCCACACTTGGCTTTTATTTAAGTTCCTATGCAAGGGGCCATGTGGACCTTGTGGGGTATTACAACACAAAGTTACAAACCAATAACAACAAATTTACAAAGTATGACACTCCCCTAAAAACCATACAATCCCTCCTCTGTGCCTGGGAGATAACTGAGTTAGATACTGTAATAACTCAATTATCTCCAGGCAGAAAAGAAACACATTTTCCATAAAACTTCAAAACACATAAAATCCCCACAATTGTTACATTCCCTGATAGCCCTGGCCTGGATGACCAACATATCCAAAAATCACCCAGATCAGTTCAGGGGTTTAGGAATTTCATGGTGGTCTTAGTTCAACCATTGTGCGGTCAGTCTATTCCGGAAAGTCTGAAAACCGAATAAAACCACAAACAGTACCCCCTTGTTTGTGGGAACAAAACTACCGAATAGCGCTCTCCTGGCTGGTCGGGGAAAGGAAGCAGGCGTTCACAAAGTTTGACTGGTGTTCAGGAAGTCGAGTGTCCGATTTTAGTTTCAGACACTCGAAGGCCAAGTTCCGCTGCCTCCTTTCATGTGAACAAGATGGAGAGCACTGTTCTCTTTGAAGTTAATGAGCGAGGGGGGTGGTTGGTGTTCGGTAGTTTCAACTACCAAACGAAAAAGTCAAAGTACTGAATAAACAGGGTAATTTCTTCACAGTAGGGAGGCTGAGTGTATTTAAATTAAAATAAAAAAATAATAATCTGTGTGTGTCTCTGTCTGTGTGTGTGTGTCTCTGTCTGTCTCTGTGTGTGTCTCTGTCTGTCTGTGTCTCTGTCTCTGTCTGTGTGTGTCTCTGTGTGTGTGTCTCTGTCTGTGTGTGTGTGTCTCTGTCTATGTGTGTCTCTGTCTGTGTGTGTGTGTGTCTCTGTCTGTGTGTGTCTCTGTCTGTGTGTGTCTCTGTGTGTGTCTCTGTCTCTATCTGTGTGTCTCTGTCTGTGTGTGTCTCTGTCTGTGTGTCTCTGTGTGTGTCTCTGTCTGTCTGTCTGTGTGCGTGTCTCTGTCTGTGTCTCTGTCTGTGTGTCTGTGTGTGTCTCTGTCTGTGTGTGTCTGTGTCTCTGTGTCTGTCTGTGTGTCTCTGTGTCTGTCTGTGTCTCTGTGTCTCTGTCTGTGTCTCTGTCTGTGTGTGTCTGTGTCTCTGTGTCTGTCTGTGTGTCTCTGTGTCTGTCTGTGTCTCTGTCTGTCTGTGTCTGTGTCTGTCTGTGTCTGTCTGTGTGTCTCTTTGTCTGTATGTGTCTCTGTCTGTCTGTGTCTCTGTCTGTCTGTGTCTCGGTGTCTGTGTGTGTGTATGTCTCTGTGTCTCTGTCTGTGTCTCTGTCTGTCTGTGTCTCGGTGTCTGTGTGTGTCTATGTCTCTGTGTCTCTGTCCGTCTGTGTCTGTGTGTGTGTGTCTGTCTGTGTGTCTGTCTCTGTCTGTCTCTGTCTGTCTCTCTGTGTGTCTGTGTCTCTGTGTGTCTGTGTCTCTGCGTGTCTGTCTGTGTCTATGTCTCTGTGTCTGTGTCTCTGTCTGTCTGTGTCTGTCTATCTCTGTCTGTGTCTCTGTCTGTCTGTGTGTGTCTGTCTCTGTGTCTCTGTCTGTCTGTGTATCTGTCTGTCTGTGTCTCTGTCTGTGTCTCTATCTGTGTCTCTGTGTCTGTCTGTGTCTCTGTGTCTGTGTCTGTGTCTGTCTGTCTGTGTCTGTCTGTCTGTCTCTGTGTCTGTCTCTGTGTCTGTCTTGGTCTGTGTCTCGGTCTGTCTGTGTCTCTGTCTGTCTGTGTCTCTGTGTCTGTGTGTGTCTCTGTCTGTCTGTGTGTGTCTCTGTGTTTGTCTGTCTGTGTCTGTCTGTGTGTCTCTGTGTCTGTCTGTCTGTGTCTGTCTGTGTCTCTGTCTGTGTCTCTGTCTATGTCTCTGTCTGTCTGTCTCTGTGTCTGTCTGTGTCTCTGTCTGTGTCTGTGTGTCTCTGTCTGTCTGTCTGTGTCTGTCTGTGTGTCTGTGTCTGTGTGTCTGTCTGTGTGTCTGTCTGTCTGTGTGTGTGTGTGTCTGTCTGTCTGTCTGTGTGTGTCTGTCTCTGTCTGTGTATCTGTGTCTCTGTCTGTGTCTCTGTGTCTGTCTGTCTGTTTATCTGTCTGTCTGTCTCTGTCTGTCTGTCTTTGTCTCTGTCTGTGTGTGTGTCTGTCTGTCTGTGTCTCTGTCTGTGTGTGTCTCTGTCCGTCTGTCCATCTGTCTGTGTGTCTGTCCTTCTGTCTGTGTTTCTCTGTCTGTCTGTCTTAGACATGTGCCATTCGTTTCAGGCTGAATATGTAGTCGGACGAATTTTCGAGCAATTTGAACATTCAGGTACTTCCGAATGTCTGAATAGCCGAAGTGCCGAATTTCTGAAGTGTCGAAGTACAGTATTCCCCCCCCATTTATTTTACTTTAGGGCCCCCGCCCGCCTCTCAGAGGTGGGGGCCGGGGGGGCAATAGGCCCCCCTTTAGATTAAAAGCCCCCACTCGTGCGTCGGGAGGGGGGACCCTTTAAAAAAAAAGGGACATGCCCCTACTCGTGGTATAGCGTGTAGGGGCATAATTTACTAATACTAAGTATTTTTTAAGTATTAGTATATTTGTTATCTACCACGTGGCTGCAAGAGAAGTTCCGAAATTCCGAAGTCCCTAAATTACTGAAAATTACAGAAGTGTTGAATTGCCGAAGTCCCAAATTTCGGAATGCCAAAGTCTGTGTCTGTCTGTCTCTGTCTTTGTCTCTGTCTGTCTCTGTCTTTGTCTCTGTCTTTGTCTTTGTCCCAAATTTCGGAATGCCAAACCTAAATTTTTTCCCATGCACATGCCTAGTGTCTATATCTGTCAGTGTGTGTCTGTGAGTTTGTGTGCCAGCCAGTGAATGTGTAAGTGAATGAGTGTGTGTGTCTCTGTCAGTATGTCTGTCAGTGAGTCAGTGAGCCCCTACCCACTCACATTCCCCCTACCCACCATACAGCCCCCCTACCCACCTCACAGCCCCCCTAAACACTCATCGTCCCCCTACTCACTCACAGCCCCCCTACCCACCTTACAGAACCCCTACCTAATCAGAGGTCCCTACCCACTCACAGCTTTCCTACCAACTCACAGTCCCTCTACCCACCATACAGCCCCCTTAACCACTTACAGACCTCACAGCCCCTCTACCTTTTTACCCATCTACCTTCTCACAGTCCTCCACTCTCACAGCCTTCCTACACACACCTTGTCACAGCCATCCCCACCCTTTCCACAGCCATCCCCCCACACCGTCACAGCCCCCCTACAAACCCTGTCAAAGCCCCCCTCACACAGCCTGTCACAGCCCCCTCATAAACCCTGTCACCTCTCCCCACAAACACCCTGTCACTTCCCCACACACCCTATCACTCTCCCCCCCACACAAACACACACACTGTCACCCCCCCACAAACTGACACCCCCTCCATACAATATCACTATCCCCAATCACTTTCAGCCCCCACACACTGTCACCCCTTCACCCAGCTATATATATGCATACAAGCGTATAATTTTTTATTTTGGGGGTTGGGTCTTGGGTGAGTTCCCACACTTTTTTTCCCAGGACTTGACCCCTGTCCGAGAGTCCACCATTCTGCTTACAATATTCTCTCCCCTCCCTGTCAGCAGATCGTGTTGGCTTCACAGGGCGTCCGGCCAGTGAGTGTAGCAGTAGCCACAGTGCTTCAGCACCTCAGAGCCTCAGTCCCGGGCCTCAGTTGGTGCCTGCTCCTGGCATCTGTGGGTCCCCCCACTGATAGTGGCAAGATCACTAACCCTCATGGTCTCCAGGTTCAGGACTTTCCCCTGTGCAGTCAGATGGTGGTTTGGAGGTACCTCCGAGTGGACCCCTGCTCTGGAGCTCGAATATCTAAAGCTGCTTCTCATGTTGGCTGTGCAGCAGGAGGGATAAGTGTACTGGATCAGTAGGGGAGTCGGTGCCAGAATTTATGGCAGATTGCATCAAATTTTGCATTGAATATGTACCTCCAGTTCTGGCTCTCTGGGTTCTCTCAGAAGCAGGGCCAGACTGGGGAAAAAAATTCGGCCTGGGCATTTTTTTATTACAGCAGCCCACTAAGAAGGGGGCAGGGCAGAGAGGGTGTATTTTGTCATCACCAATGACAAGCATGCCCCCTCTCAAAGTGAGCATGTTGGTTCAATGCTCCTCCAGGGCAGACCATGCACAGAGCTCTGCTGAATAGCTCTAGCATGAGAAAAAAGCCCTATATTTGTTCTGCACAGTGCAAGCAAATTTAATAACATGCTTGCACTTTATTTCCTTGCAACTTGTCTGCCG